CAGCTGTTTCCTGCTTTTGTTTCCCTTAAAGGAACCAATGAAGTGATGAGGATGATCATTTCCCGAAATCTGCTGTCGGAGTCGTGATAAAGCTCGTCCTCTGGATTTAAACTGACCATGTTGTTATGGTCTTCATATCTGGTTTGTTACAGTATGACTGGTGCTGCCCTGCACATCATAGTTTCAATGAATGTTTCCTCACTTGAGTGTATGTTCATCCACCCACCCTCCATCTAATAACCCTCGCAAATCAGCATCATTGTCATAAATAAACCCTTTAGACTTCATGTTTGAATGTGTACGCCACATCAGATGTAATGTAAGTTAGCACAACCAACTTCAGTGTAGTTTTTTCAATCCTTCTGTCACAAATCACCCTTGACACTCGTCTCCAACTGCTCCACCCTGCTGGCACTCCGTCTGTTGCTTTGAAGGGTTTACCCCAGGTAATTAAACTCATCCACCAGCGACGGAGAGATGACAGAGGAAAAAGTAATAAGAAAAAGTAACAGTTCATAAAATCCCAGCATCACTGTCCCTAAAGTGGTCTTTCAATCCTTATGTATATTCATGATTATTGCAATTTTACTGTATTTCATCCTTTTCTTTGCTTTTTGCAGAATTACAGAAATATGTCACAGGTGCTGTGAAGGTTATATAATGAAATGTTACACTCCAAATAAAGCTTTCTTAAATTGGACTTCATTTGCAGTTTAGCACCTTTAGGTTTTTGTTTCCATTAAATATGGAACTGATCAATATTTAGTCAAATACTGCAGAACATTTTATTGAAAAACAAAATTCCATCAACAGTCAGAACTGCATTAAAAGTGCTACATGTAGCATTTCAACATCAGAACATCACTGCATCGTTATCTCCAGAGTTCAGTGTAATTGAAATCATGAAAACAAACAAGCAGAAAACATTGGTCAGATATCGAAGATGGACGCTTTCTTGAGCGGTCTCCACTACTGGCTCTGCCATATGTTTGCAGTAAGCTTGTTATACTCAACAATTTTAAGCAAAATAGTCAGAAACCATCGCCTTTAACACTTATACTCACTACTTTGGTTACATTCCAGCTACCATAACAAGCAAAATCATCAAGTTTTGAGTCCTTATCAGTCTTCAACCCACACTGAAACTGTTTCTTGATGTGAACATGAATGTGGGCCAGAAATGTGAAACTCTAGAAACTATTTTCAGTGTCTGAATTGTGTGTTTTTGCTCTGAACGAGTGCAGTTAGCCTGAGAAAAGTGAACTTTACACATCCAGGTAAAATAACATAAAAATGAAATTAGAAAAATCTCTTTACAATGAAGTTGTAGAAATCATAGAAATGTAGCCAAAACATTGCACGACAATTGCAAGTAAACCATCCTGCTTGCTACGGTTTACAATATCACTGTATGCTGCTACGTAAAATCAACACTTCTTTTCGTTCTAAGCATGGAAATAAAAATATATTTCTCTTTAATGAGCCTGATCGCAGCATTTAAAAGAAAACTGAAATGAAGAACGCTGCACTGGTTCGTCAACAAACCGAAGGAAGAGTTTGTTCCAGTGAAGCATGTGTTTTTCCTTCTCTCTCAACCTATCAGGCCTTCACCGAGAAAGGGCGCTTCACTGCGAGGGATTCTCTGTCCTTTGCTTCCCACGCCGTTACACCAGTGATCCAGCCTGGCTTTGAGCAGGCACCATGACAGCAACAGCTCCCATGCGTGTCAGAGTGGAGGAACTAACTTGTGGGGACACAGTGAGTGGAGGTGCAATCTGAGGCTGCGCCCCCTCAGTTCTTTTGGGGTTGGTGACCGCAGGGCTCCTGAGAACCTGCGAAGGAGCCCCGTTTGCACTCGGAGGCCGCCTATGTTTACCCGACGGCGTGCCTCCGATGTTGTAGCCAGGAAGCCCTTGTAAGGTATTGGCTTCTCCAGGGCGCAGCTGGTAGGCGTTGATCACTGAGCTCGCGTCTGAAGCTGATATCGGGGAGTACGGATAGTGGAAGTTGGGCTGATGGGGGTCTCGTGGTTGAGGGCTGGTGGCTATGGAGGATAACGTGCCATTCTTGGACATACCATCTGAGCCTGTGTTGCTCTTTGCCCATGACACTCGCTTTGGTGCCTGAGCGTCCTCCCTGCGGTAAAAAGCAAGGAAAGAGGGTGAAAGAAAAATCATTAAAAAGGAGACAGTAAACAAAACAGAAGTGAAGTGCTCCAAGTAAAACGATAACGGACACTGCAGCTGCAATACTGTCAACAAAACACATTGAGTGACAGTATTGTATACTCACGTGATCTCCTAACAATCAAGCGCTTGTAAACTACTGATTTAGTGTAAACGATGCTCTACTTACACAGTATCAGTTACAAAGGTTAAATGTTCAAAAATGCACAAAAACTAGGATAGCATGAAAACACAGATAACACATACTTGCTGAATCACTGCTTTGCATTACTGTAAACGGACTCTTAGAAGCAGAAGGCTTGTTTGTTTGTTTTTTGGAAAATTTGTGGGTACATTACACCGTGAGGTGGAGGGCACACATTATGGCGCTTACCATATCTTAGTGCAGGGGTTCTGGTTGGATGATGTGCAACACTGCATATTTCACACTGAGCAAAAGTCAGTTTAAAGCCCTGCTCCAAACAACTGGATTCAAAATAATGAGAAAAAACAGGATCTACCCTCTTCGACTCCAAATGGCCTCTTTAGGATGA